TTAATTTTTAAGAACTAGAGGGCTCCCTGAGGACTGGAAAAGTGTTCTTATGTCTGTCTCTGTAATGGCATGACATTATAAGATCTATCTACATAAGTCTGTTGAACTTAAATACAGTAGATCCGGTATCAGCACTGAGGTCACTTCATGTCGTTTTGTAAACACACCATTGGTTGAACCTGTTTTACCAGGTATGATTTCAGAAAGGGAGCCAAGACCTGGGTCGATTACTTTTTGTGTAATACGCACAGAAACCTGGAAAATGCAGCTAAATAAGGCATGAGAGTTGCTCTTTTCCACATGACGTCATAGTTTCCTTTTAATATTTGCTTTGCAGATCAAAGAAACATGGTATTTTTCCAGAATACCAGGTCTTCAGAATACCAGATCTTTAGATTGATGGAGCCTGGAAGTCCAAGGACAGGTTTAGTACCCTGGTCCTGGCGTAAGTCCTAGAAATGACTCTGTCCTCTTTTCTTTCACCTTGGAGCTGTTTGAGTTAATTTACTTTGTTTTTTTTTTGTGAGAATGAAGTCTGGTTATTGTCTATACATCTCCAGATATCTAAATAAAGGACAAATAGTTGATGAGCTATTAATTGTTAATAGATAACAAATCCGTGCTTTACTGTGTCATTTTATTAACAAACCACTGCTTTTCTCACTAGTATAAAGAGGAGTCAATAATCAGACTATTCGGCTTCTTTATTATTCCTCAATTAAGTGCGGTAGACATAAATGCTCCTTTATTTCTGTGATTCACTGTCACTTTAACTGGTCCATCAAATTCTTAGTAGATATGTGGAAGAAAGGGGATACTTTCATAAGAGTTCACATATACATCCCTCAATCCAGATGCTGTGGCTTGCCTTAGGTACATCAGATGACTTCTTTGAACCTTGTTCTTTCTGTTTGTTAAATGAATCGCCCTCCTAATTTGACCATAGGGTTTCATGTGGTTTTCATCACTGCTAGGCAGTGAGATCCTTCAGATGGGGAGACCTGGCTTTAGCTTGGTTCCTACAGTGTGTATCGGCCCAGCTCTTGCAAATGCTTGCACTTCTTAGGGCCTGCAGGTAACAAAGTTGTTGCTCCATGGGAGCGCGGAAGAATGGCCTAGAGTCAGTCAATCCTTCCTGTTTTCCAAGAGAGTCTAACTTTTAGATTTTTAAGTGAAATGTCCTCGTGTAGGCCAATCAAGGTGTGGATACTGCCTTCGTCTGTTTGGCTGTTATAACAAAATGCCATAGATTAGGTGACTTTAACAACAGAAACTGATTTCACATAGCTCTGGAAGCAGGAAGGGAGAGGTGAGGACATCTCTGGGGAGGGCTGCTCCCTGGATCGTGGACGGCCCTCATTCACACAGAAGGTGCCAGGGGTCTCTTTGGGGCCTTTTTCGTCAGGGCACGTCCCCCTCATATGGCTGTGTCCCTATAACCTCTTTCCAGCCCCCCACACCTATATGACCAGTTTGCAGGAGACAAGTGTAACATAAATTTGGTGGATGTGGGTGGGGCACACATAGTACCATCAGATCAAAACTGAACTTTTTGTTTTTTTGAGAATTTAAACTCTCCTTCATGATAAAAATACACAGCAAGTGAAGAAAGAAACTTCCTCAAGCTGATTTCTTAAAAATCTACAAGAAAAAAAAAATCCACATTATACCTGATGGTAAGTAAAAGACTGAGTGTTTTCTCCTCAAAACCAGAAATGACGCAGGAAGGATTCCAGATTTTTTGCATATAAATGTGCATGCCTCCAGGCACCATTTGTTGAAAAGATGATTTTTTTCACCATTGAGTGATCTTGGCACCCTTGTTGAAAATGAATAACTCAGGAGTATAAAATTATGTTTAAAGACCTGGAGTTCTGTTTTCATTGATCTGTGTGTCTGTTCTTAAGCCAGTACCACACTGCCTTGGTAGTGAGAATGGAAATTGTGAAGTGTAACTTCTCTTTGTTCTTCTTTTAGAAGATAATTTTGGCTCCTCTTGAATTTTCATAAGAATTGTAGGATTATATTGAATCTATGGATTAATTTGAGGTACGCTTATTATTTTTACTGTGAAGGAGAGTTTCATTTCTCAAAAAATTGCATCTTTTTAAAGAAACCAAGTGATTTTCCCCTTCCTTTATTGATTATGGTATATTTCATTACAGAACTTCTGAGGTGTTAAACCAACTGCATTTCTGTCATAAATCCCACCTAGTCATGGGGTATGATCACTTTACACGTTGCTGGATTTGGCTTGCTAGTATTTAGGATTTTTGTGTCTATATTCATAAGATTTAATTGTCTATATTTTCTGCCGCTTTCTGGCTCAGTTATATATCAGGCTATGCTGGCTTCACAGAATGAATTCAGCAGATTTCCTTCCTAGGTTTTAGAAGATTCTTGCAACAAATATTTCTCCTTGTTTTTAATTCCTGAAAGTACTAACAAAACCGGTTTCGGTGGCCTCATTTCCAGCCACTCTGATGTTTCCATCTTTCTTGGTCATACAGTTGTATCTACCTCCCATGAAGCTTTTTTTGATTGTTGCTCCTCTGAAGCTGCCTTCTTTCGAACCTGCGGTAATTAGTGTGTAAGCCAGGTCCACACACAGCAGTCGGTGCTGCTGGTTACAGGAGACAGTGTGCCACGCGTGCTCCTTCTGTCTGCTCCGTGAGCTGTGCACTTCTTGAGGCAGTGGCTGTGCTATTGGTTGACTTGAGTGCCCGGAAGAACCCAGCACATTGCAACAAGGAAATGCGGAACTTTCTTTCCAATTACTCAAACACTTCCTAGTATCTATGAGTTCTTCCCAGTCAAGTCGGATTTCAGAAATATCTTCATGTGAGTCTATATCTGTATGTTCATGTGGACGTGTGTGTATAAGCATACAAGTAATAGGTGTCTGTATGTACATACTCACATGACTGTATGATTTCAAACACAGACCTAGCAGATAATGGAGCCAGAGTTAGTGTTCCTAGGATACAATCCTAGTACTTTCACACTGAGCTAATACTTCACTCTGAGGCCCATCTTCAGGTTATGTATCACATGGAAATGGTTTGAGAAATGGAATAAAATGATTATTCAACACCTGTTTTGTACTGATAGACACTTAGCAAATAATGACATAAAATTAATGGTTTAAATTCCTTTTCATTGAGTCAGATATTACCCATTTTAGTAGTTATTTAGTATTAACCATGTTCTAGTATTAATTTGGAATAATAGGTGACTTTTGCAATGAAGAGTTTGATTTTTGTTTAATGATTGCTTAGCTGAAGTTTGCTCTCACTGGATTCCCTGGCAGGACTGGGGATGTAGCTCGGGGGTAGCACACTCCCAGCATTCCCAAGGCCCTGGGTTCCATCATGGGCACTACAGGAAAAAGCACAGTTCCTTGGTAAAGAAGTGCTCTCACTCCCTGGTATCCCTTTGGAGTGGAATGTCTTTAGAGGCTGCTTTTACAGCCATCGTTTTCCTCGGCCCTAAGAACCGTGAGAGCCAGAGGAACTGTGAGGAGCCTGGGCTCCAGAGGGAGAGCATCTGGACTCAGCCTCAGGTGCTTGCTGCTGTGCACCACTGTCTCCACTTGGTCCCTGGCATCAGGGAGATTCATCTCTGCTTTAGGCTCCTTCTGAGAACTCAGAGGGACTCAGGGATGGGCACCTGGCTCTGAGGATTGTTGCATGTTAAGTCACTGCGTTCTTCACACCCATCACCTCGACATACAGTAAATGGCGTGCAGTTAATGTCTACACGGAAAGTTGTGTTGAAATTACTGACCTACGCAGAGAGCACTTGTTCCTTTCCCTGTACTGAGAGTTTCTCTGCTCTGGGAAGAAGGGCTGGCTGGGTAAGAGGAAAACCTCTTTGCACATAGGCTGAGTCTGAGAGCTAGAAAGGAGGCTTTTCTGCTAGTCTCAGTTTATAGCTAGGAGGAACAAGGCTTCCATGTTGGAGTTTTATGGTTACATATTTATTGATTTTCTTTTTTTTTTTTGGTTACATATTTATTCCACTGTAATTTTTTAAATCTTGCATTTCTAGTAATTTTGTTCTGTTAAGGTTGAAAATATTTAGCTTGTATATTTAGATTGTATCAATGCTGGAAAAGCTCAGTCTGCTACTGTAATTCATTAATCAGGCCAGTTAAACAATGCTGGTCCCTTAAACACAACACGGTGGCAGTTCCTGCAAAAACCCTGCAGCAGATGGATGGCATACAGGGGCACCGCTGTCATTATTGTTTCTAGTATTTTACCTCGCATTAAGTTTCTTTTAATCTAATTTTCTCTCATTTGCCTGCTGATCTGTTTTTGGTAAAGAGCTACATTTTTAAATGTGAAATCATTATCAATTTAAGATGTATTTTTTCAATTAAAAGTTAAGTATAATAAGCATAACATTCCTCTAGGATACAGGGAATCCCTACTTCTTTCTGGAAAACTGCCATTCAGAAACTCAACCAAGTCTGAATGGCAGACCTAGAAACATTTGCTAAAGATGTCAAACACTTTGACTTCAAACACAAAAAAGTATTGTGTGTAAACATCGGAACGTTTCTAAGTAAGAAAAATTTCAAAGAAGCACATGTCACAGCTTTCTTACTTTATAATATTCTCCATCAGCTGATTCATTGGCTCTGGGTGGCTTTACCTGTTAGTGAATCTGGGGCTGAGAGAGGAAGAGAGATAAGCTGGATTCCTGCCTACGCTAGGGTTAGAAATTTGAAGTCATTCATTCGAATCCTGAATGCTTGCTTTGTGTCTTCCAACATGATGGCAGTTTTTCACATATTGCTTCACTTCTACACATAATATGTTGATCAGAACGGATACGCCTCCTCCCACTAAAACCGGAGCTCACAGGTTAGGTAACGTGCTCACAATTACCTAGAAAAGGTGGTGTTTTTCACAGGACTAGTTGTGAGAAGTAACATGACATAAAGCGCTAAGTAGAGAATAACTAAAACTGGATTTTTTTCTAACCATTTGTAGGTTGACTACTGTGCTTCACAGACTTTGAATGAATAGGTGTCTGGTATCATTGCCTACTGAGAACGTCTTCTTTTGAGAGGTAAAATCAATGTCAAAGTCATTTGGATAATGAAGTCCCATAAAGAAAATTTTCTGGGAAAAAATTTTGGATTCTACCCTGAACGCAAGCATTCAGGTCACTCACTGTCTTGAGCTCATGGAGTGTTGAGTGGATCCAAGATAATTTAAGTGATCATCAGTCTGGAACCATTCAGTCACCAGGAAGGGCATTCACACATATGGGAAATACGGGGGAAAGCCTACCAGTGGAGAGGACCAAAGCTTCAAACACATCACTTCCAGGGTGTTGTTGGTAGGTTTGGCTTTTCTGGAGTGTATATTTAACTTGTTGACTTTTTTCTTTCTGCTGTGTAATGGTTGTTATATATTAACTTAATACCAGGCAACAGCATGAACTAACACATCACATCGGTGGGTTTTTGTATTCTCTGCAGAACAAAGTTCAAATCTCTAATAATTTCATGGTCTGAGCCTTTCTGCCATGTGACTGGACCTAAATAACATCGTATCTGCTCAGTGGGACCTCTTTAGTGGAATTTTTGAGATTTGAAAAGGGAAAATGGGTCCAGTTTGTCCTTATGAAATAAAATAGTTATTTAGCTCCCTTAATGAAACTCGAGTCCATTCTTTGATTGTTGTTCTGAGGTTAAGGCCAGGTGGTAGAACCCACAGAGAGAATGGGCACTGCTTTGCTGCCAGAGAACCTCCTGATTTGTTATTCTTCGGAAGTGGCTAACTCCGCTCGAAGTGAGCACTAGGAGTCCAGTTTTGAAAAGTGCTTTGCATTAGGGAGCCTGCTTTGTGATTGTGATTATGATTACTGCTAGTCAGGGCACTTTCCCCCTTAGTGTGGTTTAATATGAGCCTTTCGTAGTAATGAAGACGGAAGCCCCACACTGGGACCTGTTTGTGGTGCTGGGAAGCTGCTAGTTTGTGTTGCTGAAGACCACGCAGTGAATACCTTTGTCTGTAAGAGTGCCCAGCACCCTGTTAAGTTTGTTGCTTACTTTATAATATTTCCTTTTTTCTAGAAAGGATCTTATTAGAAAAATCCTGCAGTGAACATGATTTTTAGAGGCCCATGACTTAGATTTTCTTGATTCAAGGCTATCATTTATTCTGAAGTTACCTGGAGATCTATTCAGTGGGAAACTTTTGCAGAGAATTTAAAGGACTTAGATTTTAAAGGGCCAGAGTAAATTATAGCTTTTATATTACCTTTAGAAATAAGTGCTCCCTTAATTTAAAATCTACTAATAGCTTTCTATAATTTTTTAACATCGTGACTATTGATAAACCTTATAATATGTTCTCATTTCAAAAACCTTAAGCAACTCATTAGTTTTGATGTAATAAATATGGTGGTTTTAAATGTGATATATTTTATTAATGGTTTCTAATTACCTAGATTTAGCTTAGAAGATACAAATCCTCGATGACATCTGGATTAGTTAGTATTCTTCAGAGAAACAGAACTAGTAGTGTGTGTGTGTGTGTGTGTGTGTGTGTGTGTAGATAGGTTGACTATCCTGATCCCAGAATTTTGAATTTTGAATATTTGCTGTATATAATGAGATATCTTGGAGAGGGAACCTCAAATAAAAAATACAGTTATGTTTTGTATGTACCACATGAATAGGATCTGAAGGTAGATTTATGCAATATTTTTAAGAACTTCACGCATAAAACAGATTTTCCTAGTGTGGAGTTTTTACTTGTAGTGTATTAGCCAACTTTTTGTGATCATAATAAAATACCTGAAGCTGGCTACTATGAAGAAAAAGAGGTTTATTAGCTCATGGTTTTAGAGGCTGAAAGTCCAAACAGCAAGGGCCAGGCTCAGGTTGCTTCACTGGCTGCGTCACCTCATGGCAATTGCAGTGGCAGGGACTCGAAAGCCAGCGAGACTGGGTGGGACCAGGCTCAGGTTCCTGCCACTATCCCAGAGCTAACCAAGGTTAGGTAAGACTTAACTTAGCTCCTGGTGAGCCCTGGGACCCAAAGGGCTCTACATCACCTCTCAATTTCCTAGCATGGGGACCAAGGTCCCAGAAAGTGAACACTGATGAGGGACAAACATCATCCAAACCATACAAAGGTGTCACGTCTGTGCTCCAACAGTTTCCGACTTTGGAACGTTTTAGATTTCAGATTCCCAGATTCTGGGTACTCAGTGAGAAGGCGAGGGATGGAAAGGTGATAATGCCAGATGCTAAGGAATTGGCTCACATGATCAAAGATGCTGGCAGGTTTAGAACCAGGAGGAAAGTCGGTGGCCAGAAATTCTGGCAGGAGTTAATGTTTTAGTCTGGAAGTCAAAAGTAACCTTGGGGCCAAATTACTCTCTTAGAATTCTGAGACCCGTGGTCTTAGGGAGACTGATGTGCATTGTGAAGGGTCACTTCGCCTTCACCTGACTCAGAGTCCTCAGACTAAAGCTCCACTCCTATGCCAGGGAAGCCTTCACTGCGACAGCATCTAAGCAAACAACTGAGGGCAGTGTCCTAGGTGAGCTGACGTGTAAACATCATCCATTGGGATCCCCATGTGAAGAGACGTGGCTGTCACAGTGTACGTGTGCGTGGCGTGTGGAGAAGTCACCTTTCCTTCACTTGGTCATGATATAGAATTAATTACGGAGTAAGGGCAGGAAATTAGGAAGTTAGGGAATTGCTGCAGGAAAACTTTGCTAATGTTAGTGATTCAAAACTGAACAGCCGAGGCCAGGAGTTGACAGCCTGTTACGGGTACACTGAGTGTGGTGTTACATATTTCCTAGGGCCAGCAAGAGCCTTCAAAGCAAAAGGATCTGGAGAGGAAAAGCAGCAAGGGTCCAGCAAAACTGGGGACAGGGTACCCTAAGTCCCAGGACTCAATAAAAATGGAGTGCTGTCTGAGTCAAGATTCCAGCTGAAATGATTTCATGGTCCTCAGGGTTTATCTCATGTCGCAGTGCTAGTCCAGTAGCTAACGTGACTTTAGTTATCCTCCAGAATGTCTCAGCAGTCAATTTCAGAGGGCCAGACATGCAGCAAGAATGTCAATTTTCTGCCTAGGAGTACAGGATTTAGAGAGAAGTGCTCCACAGGGTAATACTTAGGATGATCAACAGAACTCTTGAAATAATCAATCCAAGACCAAGATATGGGATTGGAAGTAGAAGTGCCCTGGGGATGTGTGTATCCTCAAGAAATTCTAACTGGCTCATTTTGCATGAAAATGGTTTCATTTCTGTAAAGCCCTACTTAATATGCTGTTGAGTTTAAAAGAGCCATAGCACGGGTCAGAGGAGTAGGTGTAGGTTTATGCAAACTGAACAGAACCAACAAGGAGACTTTTGTTCATGTTTTTCCTTGAGGAGGCTCTTGGAGCAAAACTGTGGTACATGTTATGACACTTTGATAGGAAGCCATTTTTTACACAGTGATGTGTCTTGCTGAGCTCTTCCTCCTGAACCTTTTACCACCCTTGCTGTAAGCCAGTAGGCTTTCAAAGACCACGAATCCCTCTGCTACCCAAAGAAATGAGAAAAAAAAGGCACTGCTAGACCTGCTTCCTCTTGCAGAATCATCCTGCTGGAAATCATGCCTGAGTCACTGTCACACCTCAGAGATGTAGGCACGGCTCTTGCTGAGGAGGGTGGCACACACCTGCAGTCCCAACACCTGGGAGGCTGAGGCTGGAGGATCACAAGTTTGAAGTCAGCCCAGGCTACACAGTGAGTTTGAGGCCAGACTGGACTATGTATAGTGAATCTGTATTTAAAAAAATAAATAAATAAATAAATATTTATCCATTGCAGCCACCAAATGAAGAGATGTGGCTGTCGCAGTATTTGTGCGTGTGTAGAGAAGTTGCCTTGCTTTCTAGGTGTCTGCTTGGTCTTGTAGTCGAATCCATCCCCAGTTCTCAGCACAGTCCTCGCCCTGTGTTCCCCTGGGGCTGGCTGGGGCATGGAGCACAGCCCCCTCCTCTTCCTTGCCAGGCACTCATTTCTGAGACCCTTGCGTGCAACGGAAACCTACCTCTCAGAATAATGAATGCACGTCGTGAGCTACACAGCGACCTCTCGATTTCCTGATCAGGGGCCTTTTCTTGGTGCTCCTCAATTCTCTGCCACCCTTGACACTGCAGGTAGCTTACCTCTGCCTTGAGGCTGCTAGGCCTGCTGTGCTGGTTCTTCTGTCCTTCCGCCTGTGCGGCTCCTCTTCCTCCTAAATGACTTTACCCCTCCAGGTGCCTCTTCCTTCTCACCTGCAGCCATCACCTGTCCCCACTCTCCTCAAATGTCTCATTAACACCCGCAACTCTTCTGGGTGAAGCCCTCAACTTCTGACTGTGTGTGTTTTTTGGGAGGGGTACGTGAGTGTACCTACTTCTCCCTGCGGCTGGGTCCCTTAGGAAGGGCACACCTACCCTAGGTGCCAGGGCACAGAGAGGTCCTGTCTGCCTTCAGGCTGTAATTGGGGTCAGGGACAGAAACAAGGGAGCCGGTCTGAGTGCAGGACAGTGTGCTGTTGAGCTGACCTTCAAAATCTTGCAGGGTTTTGAGCCATGATAACATGACAGAAAGGGCTTCCTGCATGGGTTTCTGTAACAGTGTGAACAGGGGACAGGGCAGGGGCCCTTTCAGGGGCCAGCGGGTGCTCGGGGCTGAGGGACGCCTGCAAAGGCTGTATGAGAGTGTTCCTCAAGATGAGACTGTTGCCACCCTGAGCCCTGTGCCTTCTACCTCCAAAGCCCTCTCTTACCCTAAGGTTTTTGGAAATCACTGAAAGTAAGCATAGTTCTGACTGACAGAGGAACTGAAGGCCAGGGCAGACTGGGACTGCCCCTGCAGGAGGCTTTCCTGGCATTAAGATTCTGGATGGCTCACAGTAGGTCAGAGCTTGAGCAAAAATATCGCCTTGGGGGACTTCCGGGAGAACATGGTGGATAGATAGCAGCAGTTTCGGAGGCTCTCTGAGAAACCACACTTAAAATCCAGGAATGGTGCCGGGCGAGAAATCCTAAGCAAGG